CTGGCGGACATTTGAGCCTAATCAGCTGACTGACAGTGGCAGATTGTCATGGTGTACCTCAACGCGGTGACGACGGCGCTCAGGGAGTATAAAGGACCTACGGAGAGGGGACTGTACCACGAGATACCGCCCGCAGGAGATGTTGCTCGTCTAGGCTGCGAACAAATCTATTGGTCTAGGACTGAGTCTAAGCAATTCAGTGGTTCTGTCACTCAGCTCACGTTAGAACCACGGTTTGTCACATAGTAGGAAGTTTGGCCAAATGGCTTCACTCGTGTCCAAAGAAATATTCAATGACGCCATCTCGGAATTCCTGCCAGCTGGGTTATGGCCCATATGGAACATTACCCGTGCGCACGACGACGGAGTAAACAGGAGTCTAGTGTGAAAATCCGTAAAACCCACAAAGAGCCTGGTGGCACCTGAAGTCAGGTACGCAGTATCTCCTGAGATATATCACAATGGCCTTACCTTTAACTCATGCCTGTTACCGAAATCACCAAAATACGCGCTGGATGTTTAAAAACGATAGATGGCGAAACATTACTGGGGAAAAGTGATATAAATAATAGATAGAAAGAATAAGTAGAGAAACGGTGTGATAATAATAGATCAGAAGAAGATTTGCACAATAGTGAAGACCCACCAATTACAACACACTAAGAAAGAAAAGGCACGTGGGCCAGACAACATATGGGATATTTTACAGGTATAATAATAACACATTTTTAAAGTGAAATAATGAAATTTATGATAGTGAGTACATTGCTAATGACTTATTAAAATTCTTATGTATTGCTTTGCGAAACAAACCAGGCACTTTAAACGATGAAGACATTTACACTCAATATCTTATGAGTCATATGACAAAAACAATACTGAGAATAAAAAAAAAAAAAAAAAACTAATAGAGACAATTAAACAGGAAACTAGTAAAGACAATGTGGAAATGTAGAAGGAAAAGGTAGAAACAATGCCACATGTATTCCCATGAAAGAGCCGTGGAAGTAAAAACCGATCTCACATTATCCCTTATTGACTCTAAAAAAGTATTTGACTGTGTGAAACATAAAGATGTAATCATAGTTCTGTACAAACTAAACATTGATGAAAAAGATCTAAGAATAATCAAAAACATGTTGACTGCAAACAGCAGCTATAAGAATTAACAATCATTTGGGAACATTCACTTTGTTAAGAGCGGCGTACGAAAAGATTTTGCGCTATCACCTGATTTGCTTGCATTATATAGTGAATACAGAAGTATACTGAGATCTATCATTGATATTCCAGGAATTGGTGGTAATAAACAACCTACGTTACGCTGATGACATCGTCTGGATAGCGACAATAAGATAAGAAGAACTCCACACGGGAGCATTCACAGCATTGGTCCACCGGTCATCAGTAGAGATCCTTCAACAATCCTTTCGGCCCATTGATTCCCTAAACAATCTCAGAAGGTGGGCCGACCTGGGTCATGAAGCCAGGCCCAGATCTTCCCCTGCTGCACTTCAGCAGACTTGATAGATACAAGACGATATGGTGACTTTGCAACAGGTGCTGTGAGATCTGGTGTTATATTGTCGCTGCGGTAGCAAATTAGATCAGCTGACTACCTTTACAACTATAGTGACAAGCTGAAGGTTTGTTTGTCGAACAATTGTTAGAATTTGGCAGTTTGCAGAGAGACACCGGCAGACATGTATCGGACACTATGGCTTTTGGGGGATAAGACATTCTTTTCCACTAGGGACTCAGAACAGTCCTCTGATGCTAATCCCCCCCACCCCACGACGCCCAGTTATTTTAGTGACCGTTTATGCTCGTTGCCTCTGGAGCACACCTGCTTTAGCACATTGTGCGTGGAAGTGAAGATTAGACCTCTTGCACCTACCTCGACGGCGAAGACTTTTACTGCGTACGCTACGTCTCTCCTCAGACCGGCCACGAACTCACCGTATTTGTCGAGCTTTTACAAGTAATAGAGAACTATAGGGATTAATAGGTACGGTGGTGGTGGTAGAAAGCGATACAATGGTCCTCAACTTTAATAATGGGAATACGGAAGTAATGGTCATATCTAAGAAAGAATAGTTGCTTAATGTATAATAAAGGTCAAAGGGGGTCTTCCTGGCAAAATAGTCAAGCCATCTGCCTCGTTGTCTGAAGGTCATGGGTTCGTTTCCCGGCTGCGCCCTTTAGTTCACAAATGCAGTTTCTGAAAATATCCATGGGGATCGTCGCCGGAGCTACAGAGCTAGTGCTCTGCGCGGCGTTGTTGGTAGGAGGCTAGCCGTTTTGCGGAGAGAGACCGAGCCACGTGGGATAAAACCTGATGCTATGAAGTCGATCATCCTGACTTTAAAACTTTGAACTTTAAAAGACTAAAGGCGTTATTCTAGGACAAGAAGGAACATTGCATTATCTAGGTATATGTATTACACAGGACTCATGATGTGTCACAGAGAGGGAGAACACACAGGTACAGGCTATGACTGCACTTTATGATGTGTCACAGAGAGGGAGAACACACAGGTACAGACAATGACTGCACTTTATAATGTGTCACACAGAGGGAGAACACACAGGTACAGGCTATGACTGCACTTTATAATGTGTCACAGAGAGGGAGAAAACACTAGGACAGGCTATGACTACACTTTATCATGTGTCACAGATATGGAGAACACACTAAGACAGGCTATGACTACACTTTATGATGTGTCACAGAGATGGAGAACACACTAGGACAGGCTATGACTGCACTTTATGATGTGTCACAGAGATGAAGAACACACTAGGACAGGCTATGACTACACTTTATGATGTGTCACAGAGATGGACAAAACACTAGGACAGGCTATGACTGCACTTTATCATGTGTCACAGATATGGAGAACACACTAGGACAGGCTATGACTGCACTTTATCATGTATCACAGATATGGAGAACACACTAGGACAGGCTATGACTACACTTTATGATGTGTCACAGATATGGAGAACACACTAGGACAGGCTATGACTACACTTTTTATGTGTCACAGAGATGGAGAACACACTAGAACAGGCTATGACTGCACTTTATGATGTGTCACAGAGATGGAGAACATACTAGGACAGGCTATGACTGCATTTTATGATGTGTCACAGAGATGGAGAACATACTAGGACAGGCTATGACTGCACTTTATGATGTGTCACAGAGATGGAGAACACACTAGGACAGGCTATGACTGCACTTTATGATGTGTCACAGAGATGGAGAACACACAGGGACAGGCTATGACTGCACTTTATCATGTGTCACAGATATGGAGAACACACTAGGACAGGCTATGACTGCACTTTATCATGTGTCACAGATATGGAGAACACACTAGGACAGGCTATGACTGCACTTTATCATGTATCACAGATATGGAGAACACACTAGGACAGGCTATGACTACACTTTATGATGTGTCACAGATATGGAGAACACACTAGGACAGGCTATGACTGCACATTATCATGTATCACAGATATGGAGAACACACTAGGACAGGCTATGACTACACTTTATCATGTATCACAGAGATGGAGAACACACAGGGACAGGCTATGACTGCACTTTATCATGTATCACAGATATGGAGAACACACTAGGACAGGCTATGACTACACTTTATGATGTGTCACAGATATGGAGAACACACTAGGACAGGCTATGACTACACTTTTTATGTGTCACAGAGATGGAGAACACACTAGAACAGGCTATGACTGCACTTTATGATGTGTCACAGAGATGGAGAACATACTAGGACAGGCTATGACTGCATTTTATGATGTGTCACAGAGATGGAGAACATACTAGGACAGGCTATGACTGCACTTTATGATGTGTCACAGAGATGGAGAACATACTAGGACAGGCTATGACTACACTTTATGATGTGTCACAGAGATGGAGAACACACTAGGACAGGCTATGACTACACTTTATGATGTGTCACAGAGATGGAGAACACACAGGGACAGGCTATGACTGCACTTTGTGAAGTGACACATATTTTAGGCAATCAGTCAGTGATACTTGAGTTTTTTTTTTTTTTTTTAAGGTAAAAGAAGGAATTTTCCTATACTCTTCATAGTCTATTTTAACAGATGGTTGTGAATCTTGGACAATTATTAAACAAGACAAACAACAGAGAAACTGGAGCATATTGTGAACACTGGAAAAATCTGTGGAATAAAAGGAGACAGGGGAAGATAAAGCGGGACGTTTCTTGACAGCCTATTGTCAATGACATGGAGGCGTGTCAGCACACAAACTGATATATGCTGTTGAAGATCGCATAATGTGGAGAGGCATGATCGCCCACGCCAATCGGTAAGACACTTGATGATGATGATGATGATGATTATACTAAGTTTCTGATTCTTTGTGTTTCGCATTTCGATTTGTGCTGTACATACTGGATTTTAAAATACTCTCCACATTCTTTTTTCCCCTAATATATAAAGGTTTTCTTCTTCTTTGTCCATGACTGTAAGCTCAAGGGAAAAGTCCTGGTTGTTCGTCCATTTGGACTTTGGCTTTATGCCAGTATCTGAGTTTTGCGTGTACATCAGTTTTACTGGCTTATTTGTGTGCAGTTGGGTTTTCCTTGCCGTTCAGACAGATGCACTACGACCTTGAAGGAAGTCCCCAATTAGTCGACTCCTAGGACATGCTTGTAAGCGGGGCAGTGGGTTTATTCTTGTTTTCTTTACAATGGGGCACCGGAACACACACGAGTGATGAAAGTTTTCATTTTCTTTATGTATGTTCAACATACACAGTAGATTCGAATACAGACAACAGAATACATTATACGAATAGTCAAACATTGTAATTTGACAAAAGATTCTTGTGAGGTCGACAAAGCAATAATATAGACCACACCAACACGACAGAGTATACTACCTAAACATGCATCTACAAACAACCTTACAATGTATGTATATGATACCTCTGACATTCTGACTCTCCTCTCCCAAGTCTTCAGCTCACTCTGTAGGCTGAGGGCGTCCGTGTTTGCCAGCACATACTCCATGATCGTTGGAGCATGGTATTTGCTCATGTTTGTTCGAAGATTGTGGTTGTTCTTTTCAGCCTGGGATATCTCCTGGTGGTTGGATATACAGAATGATACACTGACAAAATTGTTCTCAAACCTGTGATATGTAGCGTTATATCTCTGAGTGGTTTGACAAACATAATGATACACCGACTGAGTAGTTCCGAATGTTTCCAAACACATTATGTAGCGTTATATCTCTGAGTGGTTAGACAAACAAAATGATACACCGACAGAGTAGTTCCGAATGTTTCCAAACACATTATGTAGCGTTATGTCTCCTAGTGGTTGGATATACATAATGATACACTGACTAAGTAGTTTTTATACCTATGTTGTGTAGTGTTATACATCCTAGTGATTGGATAAACATAATCTATGATCACCTGTACTAGTAGTGGTCAACAAATTGCCTTTGCGTAACAATCTACTTATATGTAATACAATCGCTGTTAGTAACAAAGTCTCAGAATGTATCAGATTGTATTTAAAAAGTGTACTGTAAACAAAAGAAAGACCATAGTAGGATGTGACGTTCTTACCGACTGGACAGCCTTTGCCTCTGCATCAACTCTTTTCATGAAGTCGACGCGCACTGTAATATCGTTCTGAATCCTTTCAGATTCTTTGTTCAAATCTTGGAGCGTTCTCTGTAGACACATTCAAAGAATACTACACGTAGATGAAACATGTTAGACTCACAGCTATCATCTTCAGTGAGAAAAATACTTAACATACTGGCAGCTAAGTTATCTTCGATGATCACTTATTCTTTGTGACGAGAACCAAATGAAGATAACAGCAACTGCCTCAAAACGATGGATGTCTACTGTATTGCTTGGGGATTATTATTCGCATCAAAGGTAGTATCTGCCATTGGGCCACATTTACATTTGTTTAGCAAAAAATTGTAATTTTCCTGCAGAAAAATTCCACCCTATCTATATATCCTGCAGTTTGTTTAGTTATTCACACACTTCCTATAAATTATAAATAAAGTAACAATATTCTGAAATGAACTATAATTAATTTTTTAAATAAATTTTCCGATACAAAAAAGGGGTTACTTTTGCTTTCTCTAGAGTTCAAGCTTGTATCTCACCTAAATAATAATTAACTGGCAGAATGCTAAGCCTGCCGGATTTGTTTCTCAGAAAAGAAACTTTTAAGTTGCAGACAAATGTTGACTGTCAGATGTCCTTACCCCACAATTTCAGCTGATGCAGCAGATCTACGACAGACTCAAGACCTGGCTACTACGATAGGAGACTTGTTACTGGTTCTAGTATCTCTTGGTTTACTGTGTGATTTCATGGTCTGATGTTCATTTTGTTTGTCGACTATCATGACCCTCGGTTGTTGTATATTCATACCTGACCCACCCCGTGCTTGTATTCATGTACATATGGTGACCGATTGACCAGAGGGTCAGCTTGCTAATAACAAGCGTCCTAAAGATCCCTAATGAAGTGAGCCTCCGAAATATTAGAAAGTATGTTTACAATGGGGAGTCGCCGTGGCAGAGCGGCTAGACGCACGCCTCGGATCGGATGGTCGTGGGTTTGCTCCCTAGCGGAGCGGGATTTTTCTTTAAAAAAAAAAATGACTTCCTAGGTCGACCCAGCCTTAAGTGGGTATCGGGTGCAGACCCGGGAAGTAGAGGCGGCCGGCGTGATGCTAATCACATCAGCCATCTTGTGCCGTTGGTCTATCAAATATAGGTCTAGCTTTATATGCCCTATACGCCTACAGGCGGGGAAAAGGGCCCTTTACTTTTGTTTAAATGTTTACAAGCTCAATCCGAAGGTTTTCCTTACTTGACAGGGAGTCACTGAGGTAAAAATCTAAAATATTTTCACTAAAAAAAATTAACGTCGTTTGTTGTAAAATGTTACATTTTTTTCACTTATCCTGGTATAACTTTCTCAGATATCAACTAATCTGCATGAAATTTTGCATGCTTGTTCACATTAGAACTGGTTGTAGCCTATTCTAAGGGAATTCAAATATTATGATTGTGTACATTTTTATGTAATTTCAAATTTGTAATTTTCCACATACAAAAAGAGGAAAATTTCAGGTAGCTTAACATAAAATCTATTAAATGTGTACTGTTTTCCATAGTCCGGGCCATACTCACACCATTTTTGTATGTGCAGTTTAATTTTGAAGGAATTTGGCTGCACCATTTTCCTAAAAATATTTCCAAAGTAACATCTATATTTTGAATATTTAAAAAATAAATTTTTCACTTAAAAAATTTATTATCTCACATGTATATATTGAATTCCAAAGATGTTTATTTTATATGATAGCCTGATCATATGGTCATTATGTCTGCAAATTTGAGAGTCCTATCTTTAAAATTGAATTTTTTATGATTTCTTTTCAGACGCGACTGATTCCCTGCTAGAACTGCCCCCTTAAAAATATAACAGAATTGTCTTTACTATTGTTGAACATAACTAAATTTGACATTTATTTCGCAAATATTTAAATTGTATCATTTTCACATTTTTTATTTTTAAAAACAAAAATTGTAACTCTTAAAAAAAATGGCAGACATATAGTCGTAAATGAATCGCCATTGAAAACAAACTCTCTCTCTCTCTCTCTCTCTCTCTCTCTCTCTCTCTCTCTCTCTCTCTCTCTCTCTCTCTCTCTCTCTCTCTCTCTCTCTCTCTCTCTCTCTCTCTATCGTACACACACGCTGTTAGAAGGGGGTAGTGACTGTCGTGACTGGGGACATGGCGAATGTTTTATCTGTGTGATTGTCGTTTATCATTCATTATCCAGTAGAAACTGCTGACAGTATGAATCATTTATTGTTTATGCAATGCAGTGACTAGTTCTTTTGACTAGGTAGACTAGCCCTTTTATAAAACATGGCCACTATAGTTCCTTCAACAATTTAATAAACACTTGCAAGCCATTTTCTCGAAAACTGCCTGTTAGATCGCAATGATTTTTTGCAAGCTACTTTAAAATATCCATTACATAAAAAAAGAACCCAAAAAAAGTTATTTTTTAGTCCATAGCTGCTCAGGATGCTGAATATCAGCCAATTCCTTTGATCTTTTCAAACCATTGTAAAAAACGGGGGAGTAAAATTTCAAATTTACAGTAAATATCTGAATTTCTGGTCCTATTTTTTGTTCAGATGCGTGTCTTCATTAAACATTAATAGGTGAAATAAATTGTATTTGTTGTCATTTATGTTTAATTAAGCTGAGTTAAGCTAAGTCAAGACAGAAATTACAGCACTTGGGGCATTAACCTATGCGCTCCATCGCCGTCTTCAGTAGCTAGTACAGAGTTGCAGTACTAACGGTACCGGACGCAGTATAATTATATGTCCAACTTGCCTTTCCTCTGCGCCCAAGTTTATCGTTCGTTCTAGGCCATGACAATCCGTTGTTGCTTCTGACTTCGTTACTTGTTCCCTATGGACATTGACCACGTCTGCCTTGTCATGTATCAATTCACCACCCAGTGATGCAGATCCAGCCAATCTGTCTGCCTTGTTCAGTTGTAAACATGGCCCCAATATGCAGCATTTTTTTTCTATGAGTTGACCCGGTTGAACCTGTATTTGACAGGTTAATATTAGGGTATTTGATGTTGTTTCTTCCTTTTTCCGTTTACTTGAAAGTTGCGGCACATTTGGATATAGAGATGTATTTGTTGCAATTGTAGATGTACCTGACGGATTGATGATTTCAACCACTCATTATTTCAACCACTCATCAAAAAAGTGATTTTAATCAATCCGGATCTGACGATCCCAAAAAGTTGAAAAATGTTACTGGCTAAAAAAAAATAGTAATCCATTTCGGTGCCAGTTCTCGTCTTTCTGTCGGAGCACGTGTTCAACATACTTTTTCCAGAAATGAATGTTTATTGTTGAGAGGAACTCAACATCACACATTTTAAATGAACTTGTCATTTGATTTTAGCCCAAACAAGCTCAATCGGGTTGAGGTGGGAATGATATGCAGGGAGTCGAAGAGAAGTGTGGCCGTATTCATGATTGATTCTGTCAATGTGATACACCTTTTTCTTATTTGTTTTCTTTACAAGCTGCAACAACTATGCCTTCAAACATGTGCCGTCACAGTTGCCTTTCTCCTTAGCTAGCCATGTCCTAATTTGATCTTTTGTATTTGACGTTCTTTGTCTTCCTCTGATACGACATTATGTTAGGTGGTTTTATCCATCACTAGGCATGATGGTCTGTCCAGAATTGAAAAAATATCATTCTCCATCCAGTGCCTGAAAATGTATCCATTCATTTCAGTGTTGTAGTCCCTGCCATTCGTACTTTTTGATTGGAAAATAAGTCAAGTATCATGAATAAGACCTTTTTTACTGCTTTCTGTAAAAGTGAGTATAATGCGCTGGCCTATACTGCTTGGAATGTTTCTATTTTGTTTACCGTTTTTTGATTGCCATTCTTTAGCATAGGTATGGTGAACATTAACCCAGATTCATCCAAATATACAATATCAAAGCCTTGCCTCCGTCGCTCAAGGATCTGCCTTGGGTATTTGCTTCGACTAGCAACTAAACGTGGCTTTTCACAGAAAATATTTCTTTCACCTACAGTTTTCATTAAAGTGAACCCGGTGGCTCTTACAATTTTCCACGGACTAATTTTTGAAATATCAACACTGCATTATGATTTCAGTGTTAATTTCAGTTTTCGGCGAGTAACAAGTTGATTTGTCTGTAACATTTTTAAGATCTCACGTCTAATGACATCTATATTAAAGTCGTCAACTTTGCTTTCTATATCTTGACTGTGTCCTGTCTAATCCAGCTGTTAAAAGTTGTTTTATCCAGACCAAGCACCAATAGTGTTCGCTTTTCTGGGTCAGGAATATAACAATATGAATGACCCATCTTAGATTCCCTGGAGAAGTGCTGGTACAGTAAAACAGTAACTTTCTGCATAATTAAAAATTTGCGTCCTAAATTCATTTTAAAGCTGATGTCTATGTCAGCTTTTAAAAGCTAGCTATAGGACACAATAACACAACACTAATCTATAGATGCGCCTTTGACTAAGCAAACTTTACCGACGTCTTATTTCGGCTTCAGGTCACTAACAGTGCGCTAGAAAATGTTAAAGTTATGGATGTTTTCTTTGACGCCCTGTTAAACCAGTTATAGTGTGCTTAACTTCCTGAAACTAATGAGAGTAATCCTTTCAAAAGTCTACCAAGACGGTTTCATAATTACAAAATACATATCATAAAGAAGAGAAAACTACAAATAATATTTTTCTTTAGTTGTAAAAAAACAAAAAAAAAACAGTCATGGTTGTTCTAAGGCTGCATGCAAAAAATCATTTCGATCTAACAGACAATTTTTGAGAAAAAAGCGTACACTTGTGTTTATCTATTGTTGAATCCGCCGCTTACCTTGTGCAAGTTAAGGGCTTTCTGTGCGTTTCCTGTCATCAGTTTCAGCTTTAGTAAGTCCCTGGTCCTCTCGGAAAATGTTTGCTTGTATTGCTGATTAATGATTCTTAGCTGGTCGAAGTCAACCCCATGTAGTACGTCACCGATTTGTTCTTTCTAAAGTGTAACAGAAATAGTTACTTTCTTTCCATTCTAATCGTTCTTAATCTAGTACACTATACATGCTAAATATAGCACAAACTATGACTAGACAGCTCAAGGGAGGGAATGAAAATGACGCCCACAAAAACAGTCGAAAGTTTCGACCAAAGTCTTCATCAACGGAGTACTAAATACAGTACAATCTGTGACTAGAAAACTCAGCGGGCACGACAACAGAACTAATAAAAATACCAAAATCAACATGAAACCATGAAGTACGTAATGAGGGAAAAGTTTGAATATAAAGGCTATAATGCCAAACGAAATAAGTAAGACAGTGTAAAGACAGAGACAGATTTTCTAATACACATATTAGTGTCCATCACAAAGCAGATGATTTTCCATCTCTGAATGTAACTAATGTTATTTTTTGTTTGTTACACTTTGCAATGATGATGAATATATACATTTGTTCCAACCTTACCATTGTACCATTCATCAAAATGTGCTGTGTTCAAAGATCCGTACTCGGATGATGCTTTGAATTCAGCATTTAATAATGTCAATTCGATTCACTCAAGGAGCTTTCACGGGGGTACTTTTTAAATATTTTATCTATATCATAAATAAAGTCAATCGCCAGTGATTTCTGAAATGAAAAGCCCACGAATTGTTGACTACACTGCACTATACACGGCTTAACATATTGCAGATATGTGTCGACATGAAGTAAGTCACATAAGTCAAAGAAAGTCAACGTCCCTTTTCGCCTTGAACCTGGACCACTGATTCGGTAGACAAGAGCACTAACCATTGCGCCACTTTGGCTCTGTGCTTGATCTGCTTATAGATAATTGCAAACCTTTTTCCACCGACTCACGAGAAGAAAAGTCTCCCTAAGTTTAGAGTCAGCGATGTTGTAAAAACTGACTTCTGTTACTTTATGATAAATACTACAAACAGTTCAGCTCAAAAGATGTGTATCTCGTTTTCACGAAAACTTTAACATCTTTTGGTACATTTCTGGGCGTTCACACTTGTAAACTCTAGTGGAACGTTCTGGTTGTTAGTCCACTTCTGGACTTTTTAGTCCTGTTCCTAAACTTGAGTTTTGCTGCACATCTGTTTTACAGATCTGGTTTATTCGTACGCACACTGTTAGTTCCTCGTCTTTCAAACAGATGCACTCTGATTTTAACGAGACCACACCTAATTAGGTGAATTTAACGACATGTTTGTTAATGGACAATTGGTCTCCCCCCCCCCCCCCCCCCCCCCCCGACGTCCTTTTCCGATAGGGCCCTAGAATCAGCCCAAGAATGGCATCAATTTTCTTCATAACAAATGACGACATTACAGGAAAATGCAAACAGCCATATCTCATACTATATGACGGATATGCCAGTTATTACTGGCTAGATTATTTATCATTCATCACTGACTGACAAATATGCTGTAATAACAATCATGTTTGACTAACTACAGATATGTAAATAGTTATCCATATCACAGACCTGCTCAAGCTGAAGTACGACTTTCTTTTCCTGAGTTTTGACACTGTTGTACTTCAGTATCAGTTTTTTCCTCGTGGAATCCTGGAGAGGACGACATCAAAACACTATTTAAATCTGTAGAATGCACACCAGCTTCCACTGACAATGTATTTCCTACATCAGTGATTCCCAAACTGTGCGCCGCGGCGTCCCGGGAAACCGCGAACTCTTCACAGGGGTGCCGCGAAATATTCGAAGATACACGATTTTTTTTCCTTAAATACGAATAGTCATATTTTTATTTAGGTAGAGCGCCGTGGAAAATTTCATTAAAAAAAAAAAAAAAACTCCGCCACTAAGAAAAGTTTGGGACACACTGGCCTTCATAAATGAAACTAACTGACTTTCCTCCATCGGTGTGAAGCGTGTGATTTATATCTTTCTACTCTAGGTAATGCGTCATAGGGCTATTCATCACCTCCAACAATCAGCGAAATGAATGCTAAATTAAGAATGGGCATTACATCACTCAGGATACTCCCAGAAGCGCTCCGTCCCCATCTTCGGCAGCAAGCGAAAAGTTCCAATTCTGATTGCACCAGTAATTGTTTGATTGTATATGTCTCGTCTTTTTCTTGAATACTCAGCGTCGGCCAGATCCTGTGGTAACTTTCCTCAGACCGTAATAATCTATTTGTGCCTCTTCACTGTTCCCTCGCTCCTAAAGGGCCCATACAACATCTAGCTTTCATGTATCATTTTACCACAAAGTGGTGTAGACCGGCCAATCTATCTGTGCGCTTGTTTCCCAACACACTGGCATTACCTCGAGAAAATATGCAAAACTATCACGGATCTCTGAAGCAATGACTGTCTCCACAATTCTCAATATGCTCTGTCAGTTACAATTAGGACATGTGTGTACAGATGATTCTAAAGCCAGCAGAAGGCAGCAGTGACTGCCTCCATTTCTTTTCTCAAACTTGACGTTGTGATATCACATGCCGGACTTTGTTGCATTAGGCGATGTCCGTTCGCTTTTGCTATGAACTCCCATGCACTTCGTCAACACAGAGCCACCTGTGTATATAATCACATCACCTGGGCGGGAATTGTCATGAATTATTTGTTGAACTTCTGATTTTGCAGCAGCAGCTAGCCAGTCCCTGCACTGACGTCCTAAGTTATTAGAACCCTAAACGAGTTTGATTCTTCCTCGGACACTGAGCAACTTCTCTCCTCGTCCAAATGTATTCAGCCTGCACACATGTGTAATTGTGTCTTCTGCCATAGCTCCACATAGGGCTTAATGCAGGAGAATTTTCTTGTCTACAGCTACTCTAACATATGACGTTGCTTGCAGAACTTTGAGTCCCTCTGCAGTAGTAGGCAGTGAAAGTATCTATCGCATACATAATACCGGGGTATCTCTTGTGCATCCTAGAATAATCCCCTAATGGCTTCTTTATGTATGCGTTCAAGTTTCAACAGCTGACTCTTTGATATGATAAGCATTTCAAGTCCACAATCTTTCACCGACAGGATCACATAGTGGAACATTATGAAGATCATTCTTTATTTTATATCCATTGCTGTCATAATCTTGACAACTTTGATCCTTTTTTGGAATTTCACTGCAAATGCCTCCACATGGTCCCTGAAGAACAGACTACTATCAAAAATGATACCTAGGTACCTCGGCTTTCTTTCTCATCTGATGTTTTTGTCAGGCTTGGAATATTAGCTCATACGATTCTATTGTCCAGAGATCACCATACAATTGCCACATTTTCTGAGTTGACGACAGCACCCATCACTGCACACCAGCCAACCACTTTGTCAACAGTTGCCTGTAGCTCGTGGTCTATCTGTTGCCTATCGCTTACATGCCTATTTGCAAGAACACAAACTACAAATATAAATATTCTTTCAAACTCTGGTGCTTTAAGTTGTGCAGTCTTGCTTGCATGCGCATTAAAGAGCGCTGGTAAAGCTGCAGAGCCTCGGGGTATTCCCGGGACGATATTACATGTGTCTGAAGCCAAGGGCAGTCATGCGTGAATACAGGACAACTGCTATCCCGTTCACCAGCTAGGGACAGATCCTCTTCTTCAAGAGGTCAGATAATCAAATACAAAATACAAGTGCTGCCACTACCGTCTCCTATCAATTCTGGAACGCCATATAAACATCAACAGCAAAAGTAGCTGCATTTGACCAGGTAGGTATCTTCCCTTGGCCGGAAAATACCCAAATCTTTTGGCAGGAGCTTTCCTCTTTCCAAAAAACATTAGTAGTTTAACAGCAGTAATCTTCTCTGGCACCTAGCCAAAAGATTTTTTTAAGGGTGATAACCCTAAAACAGCGGAGCCTCAAATGATCCTTGCCTGTTTTTGAAAGTGGGATTAGGTAGATGTGTAACCAATCCTGGGGCACTAAAGCTGTTTTGATGCTCTGTTGAAGTGAAAAGCCTTCTCCCTCAAGACTTCACTCCGCCTGGCATCTGGCCCCAGTGCAGTGTCTTTTGCTTTTTGCAATATATATTCTACATCCTCCACATTTACGGTATATCGAAAAAAAAAAATTATCATTTATACTATTAGACAAATTATCTTTAACTGAATTACTAACTTCCATCTCCTTATGATCAATCTGGGCTATATAAATCTCTCCAAAATTGCATTCCCTTTTTATGTGTTGTCATTTGTATACCATTGTTAGTGTATATAATGACTGTAGTGATAGGCCGATCCTTCCTTTGCATCTGTTCGTGAAGATTCTAAAACCTACCCAGTGACGTATCACAATTTCGCTCATAAAATGTTCTCATTTAGTAGTGTTTGCATCTGATGCACACTTGAATGCCTGACCTACTTTGTTGGTCCATCACAGAGGCTGCACAAAAGCAGAGGTGGTAGTTCTGCTGCATACCTTCTGTCGAAGGCGTCCAACAATGGTACTGGACCTATCATACTTTAAAGTCTTGCTAGCTTGAGAAATCAAGACTGAGAATGGTATATGGTCACTCCCGTGATCGCCTAGGACACTTCATTGTGTGTCCGGCATTGCTGAGTATGTAACAAACGCCGAATCAATAGCCGTATCTGTATCACAAGGTCTCTGTGTCATTCTAATTAGCCTACTGTCCTTTATATAGACGAGGTCTGCATCAACTTTAGCCACTTCTAAAACATTTCCTTATTTATTTTTCCCGGTACTGTCCCACACTCTAGTCCTCGCAATGAAATCCTACAAAAGAGAAGCCTATTACCAGAAATTTTTTCCCTCTTTGAGAGGACCCCGGTGATCCTTAAAGACAAGAGAGTCAACAGCAGATTAAACATTTACAAATCCGCATAAACCAATCAACGGGTCATGTGACAGTGTTAACAACATTGCGTCCATAAAAGAAATGAAAGTAAAGCTTGTATAGACAAATAATTAAAAAGCGTTGTTATATTTATCAAGTAGAGCACAGTTTAAATGAAAAATTATACGTTGAAGTAAATCAGCTGTAAACGAGTGGAACAGGCATCGCAATACGACAAGCTGTAAGCAAATATTCTTAGCGATGTAGCAATTTTCCCGTCGTAAATTTGAACAAAAAAGACAAACATTAGATTGAGCAAATTTGTGAGCCTGGCACAGACAGAAATAGCTGTAATAGCTGCACAAAAGCCACGCCTTACGGCCTACCTGGCAATAACCATATTAACCAACCATGTAAGCATTGTTGAGAATTCCTTGTCTTGGCATGCTTAAATGAGTTTTAGTGTTGTGTTCAAGATTTCGATGATGGTTTCGTTTGCAGAAATGTTGTTATCAACTGACAATGACTGCAGTTACACGACTGGAGTGTTACAGATAATCGTTTTGTGCTAGAACTTACAACCAGAATAAAGAATATCACAATATAACGAAGTATGCTGTGTATGGTAGTTTCAAGTGGTGGACAGGCAAACGAAACGTTGTGACTAGGATTGCTTACCCTCTTAGCAAAGTGGCTGTACGGAACTGGTCAGTCTTTGGTTTGAAACTTCATTGAGGGAGAATTTTACAAATGAACAAGCATTGCCACGTCGACCCAGCCTAAAGTGGGTACCCGTGAATGTGCAGGGAAGTAAACGCAGCCGTATGATAATGACCACCGCACTTACAGTCAGACTCAGTATGGTATCCCAAGTAAATAAATAGCGTGAAAAGAATTCTACGTAGTTATTGTTAGTAACATAGGCGCTAATTATCCATATTATTTGCTTAAACGAGAAGGGAAATGAGAAGGGAAATGTGGAGGTAAAGGCTGGGAGTTGTATGTGTCCATAGGATGACCCGGCGGTTCACTTTTTGTCTTGGGAAAAACGTTTGGGAAATCAGGAGCGATTCTCCCTTTCACATCAGGTCAGTCTGAGAACCCGTGTCCGTTGTAACTGTTTGATGGTGGGGCCCCAGCCCCAGTTACAGGGACGTCGCCTAGCGGGGGCCACGGGAAAAAAAACAAAGCTACAGACAAGAAAGGAGAACTACAGGGGTGCACACTAGATGGTTATCCACGGACAAGGGAGAAGAGGCTTGAGAATGGAAGAAAGGACCACCCACGCAACAGCAGTATTTTATAAGTTTGAAATAGGGGAAGTCTGGAGAATGTCTGTCAAAACAGGGGCGCCGCATTATGTTAGTAAACATCTGGAGAGTAAGGGTTGTTCGCCTTGACTTTCCCACTTATTTTCCCAACTGTTAACAGTTCGGTACATGGACGTCGCCTAGCAAGGGCCACGGGGAAAACAGAACTATAGACTAGAAAGGAGAACTACAGGGGTATACACTAGATGGACAGGGGTAATCACTGGATGGTTATCCACAGACAAGGGAGAAGATGCTTGAGAATAAAAGAGAAGACCACCCACGCAACAGCAGTATTCTATTAGTCTGAAATAGAGGAAGCCTGGGGAATGTCTGTAAAGACAGGGGCGCTGTCTTATGTTTGTAAACATCTGGCGACTAATGGTTGTTTCTCCTTGATGTCTCTTCGTAGTCGTTTTACCCTGTAATAACATAAGACGGTACAGGGGCTAAAAGCCGGGTCCCCACCATAAAACAGAGACAGCAGACCACAATATGATTGGACCGACCTGATATGAAAGGGGGAGTAGCTTCTTTTTTTTTTTTCTAAGACAAAAAGTTAACCACAGGGTCACGCCATTGACACATACAACTTCCAGCCGCATTCCCATCTACATTTCCGCCTGCATTCCTATTCACATGTCCTCTTCATTCCCCATTAAATCCACACGCCACATTCAATTCACACGCCACATTTAATCAACACACCACATTCAATTCGCACGCCACATTAAATTCGCACGCCACCTCCGCAAATTATATGGATAATTAGTGTCTAGAACTACTACTGTTAAACATTTTTCTCAGTTATAAATTGTTTTGGAAGAGTTGTTGATATGAAGAGAAGGAAACAAATAAGAAGTAGTCTCTATTATTGTTCAGCGGGTGATTAATTGCTAACTTCACACACACTTAAATTATTGCAAACAACGACAATACACCGATGATTTCAATGTTCATAGTTCTCGTACATCTAGGAGCGGTAACAGCATAGCAGTTAGCACACTTGCCTACAGATATAGTGGCCCAGGTTCGAAAGTTGGTTAAAATATCAGACGAGAAAGGGGAAATCGTTATCATAATCTTCAATATTATGCACTAAAAAAAGAGAAAGAAGAATGAAAGGAAGAAGAAGAGGAAGATTATGTACAGAAGAAAGTGGGAGAGGAAAATTGGGATTAGAACAAGAAGCAAGATGACGAAGAAGCGAAGAGGATGAAAAAGGAAGGGGGAAACAGAGAAAGAAAAGAACAAGAAATACAACAAGAAGAAATGTTCCTAATTACAAGGTTTTTCAATTTATTCTCCAAATATCTGACGCATTTCTCAGCCTTGATTGCATGTGAAAACGGATTAACGCCCCCTTTGATTATGTCTGTGTCGAAATCTGCAAAATCCTTTTTAATGGCTTGTAGGCAAGTATCAGCTTCTGTGATTGTTGCCTGAAAGAAGACAGAGAACATAAAAGTAATGCTTTAATCAGTGACACAACTTGCCCCCCCCCCCCCCCAAACACACACACACTACACACGTACAGATCAATATAATAATATTTGCTTTAACGTCCTCATACAGCGGGCCGTGTAAGTGTCAGACAGCTGCAAATATGTCTCGTGGTTTGAAACATTTTGATTGTTTTTTCCAATGGTAATCATGGCGTAGGCTAAGCTTCTCGTTGTATATAATTTCTGTGTGTTACTTTACTTAGGTAAATGCTTGAGAGTATTATATGGTACACACACACACACACACACACACACACACACACTCAAACACACACAAACACACAAGGTAATGGTCGAGGTCTGGTGCAGGAGAATCTAGCATTTGATACAATTACAACAACCCGCTTGAGAATGGAGGTGGAGGCGATCACTGCAGCTTTCCACTGGTTAGAAAACACGATACACACACACATACACACACTCACACACACATCGTGTTTGTAACTGACGCAGAATGCATGTCGAGGAAGGTGAGGACTGGCAGTGCTTCTCTTCGAATGTCACGGGTAAGGAGAAACGTCTCGACCTTTCTCAGGGCTATGCTGGTGTTTTGGGAAATGAACTAGTGGACAGACTGGCTGCTCTACACAAAATGGTTGATTACTGATCATGTGAAAGCAGACATATGATGCAAGACATAAAATATTTTTCAATGTTTACTATTCTGTACGAATACTAACTAGACATGGAACGAATATAAACTCCGGCCACATCCAAGTCAATAATATGAAAATCAAACGAACGGAAAAATATAAGTATTTGGGTGCAAAATTCAACTGCTCCAACATGCTGAAAGAAGAAATACAATTTAGAATACAATCTAGAAATAAAGTATGCTATGCCCTTCAACATCTGCTAGAGTCAAAGTGTCTGTCTCGCAACACCAAGATCAAAATATATAAAACGTCGATAAGACCACTCGTTTTATATGGCTCTGAAATTTGAAGCAAAAAAAAAAAAAAAAAAAAAGAGATCAAGCCTTATTACAGGTTTTTGGAAACAGTCTTACGACAAATCTTTGGACCCATCAAAGATGCTTACAGAGGGTAAAGGAGAGTGAGAAGCAGCAACGTAACACATAAACTATTTAAATCACCATTGATTACTGGCATCATGAGAGCTTACAGATTAAAATGGTTGGGGCATATTGAAAGAATGTCAGATGACAGAGAAGTAAAAACTGTATACACCTGAGAGAGGAATGGGTGTAGAACACGAGGCAGACACAAAAGAAGTTCGGGAGATAATGTCCAGCCAGACCTGCAAACAACTGGTGTCACAAATTGTGAACATAAGGCCAGCCAGGGAGATGAATGGAGACGAGTGATATTTGCAGCAGTAAATCTCAAGGGCTCAGAATGCTAAAGAAGAAGATGACTATTCTGTGCTACTTTATGTGAAGTAAAAGTTCAGCGTACATTTAACATTATGAATGTTTTTTTTTTTTTTTTTTTTTTTTTGAAAGATATATTTTAAACACTATTCGTACTCGTATTCGGCCGAATAGTTAATTGGTGCCGTTATTCGTATTCGGCCGAATAGTGAAAATGTAACAGGGAGACGTCATTACTTGTTTGTGGTAAGTAGGTTATTACGCAGAGTTAAGATGTACTGAAAATCAACAAGTTTTGGCAGCCTTGACATTCCCTTTTCCAAAATCTTCTTTTCCCTCCAAAACTAGCTGTTGACATCAAACTGATGTTGTCTGGCCTTGACCTTTTTACTAGAAGTTTTGAAATGCGTTTTTTTCATCATGTGACCCAACCTTGTCTTACTAGTAAATACCTTGTCGTGCCCTGTCAAAGCAAATGCAATTGTACTTGTTTTCTGGAGGCTTCTATGACCTCAGTTGTCAATTTAACTATTGTAGTTGCGCAGAAAAAAAGAATGATGAAATCTGATGCAATTGAGATATAATTAGCTAAATCCCACATGAGAACGTACATCGTAAACAAGTTGAGACGTACTAGAATATTCTAGAAGCAGAAAACGTGAGAAGAAAACAAATAACTAGCATTTCCTCATCCAGGTATAAATAATGGGTAAGAGTCCACTTAAGCAGCTTTCAGTCTATTAGATTTATAAAGTGGAGGGGCTAGTCATATGGACCCTCAAAGCTCTTCACTAGTAGAGATGTCAGCTCAACTCAAAGAGTGCCTTCAGTGGTTGAGACTCAGAGGACTAGCGACTAGTCTCAATGATCTGCGTAGTTGTGGAGATGCCAGCTCAACACTAGAAGCAGAGGAACCAGTCACATGGAACCTCGAAGACAAAAACTAAAGGGGAGACATGAAACAAGACATCGAACTACAGAGACGAGACATAAGATACATGGATCCATGGTTAACAGAGACACATTAGGAACACTATAGAGATGTTAGAGTCGACGATCAAGCCGTTAGTACCAAACAGCACTAGAAGCCAGGTGGCAGTTAGAGACACTAGAACCAGTTAACAGAGTAACTAGAGATGAAGAACACAGCGCGACCTCAACAGTACGTAACCATAGAGAGAACACAGCGCTATTCAGAATATCATTGATGTATTTGTGACATTGTTGAAGTATCACAATAAAGACAGTATAGACAAGAACTGTTGTTTCCAGCCATTTTATTATACAAGCACCAGAGTCACATGAGAAGCATGCAGCAAGCAAGACATCATCATCATCATAACCACTATCGACACGAACATCTTTCTCCTCTTCTATAATCTTCCACTCGACTCCTCCTGTAGCAAACCTACAGATGAACCTGGGTGTGATATCAACGTACGCAACGAAGAAGAGAGCTGTGCTACAAAAATCACTATTCGGCACAGCCCTAATATATATATATATATATATATATATATATATATATATATATATATACACACACACACACACATATATATATATATATATATATATATATATAGTTTATGGCGTTGTGGATGCATAGTATGTGGATTTTGTGGCTGGTGGAGTGGTAGGATGGCGCATTCCTACAAGGTCAAGTGACCGATTTTTTTTTCTCTCCACAAAATGACGGCCTGTTTGTAAACTTTGTTTGTCTTAGATACTATTTAGATACTAATTAGAAGTTTTTAAAAAAGTTCAAACGGGGTCAGGCGCGGTATTTTTAGTTTCACACACATGTCATTTTCCACTTGTGGAGGCACTCGGTAGCGGGTTCTCTTTTCAGGGGTACCCCTTTTAAAGTCTACAGTAATAGAAACTGCTGCGCATTGGATGGTTGTGGGTGGGGCCCATCCCCAAGATGGCGGTCTTTCATTTAATAAGTATGTTGTTTGCCTTATCTATGTTAAAATGTTAAAGTATTGAAAAATCTTATAAGGTAATAATAAAAAGTTAAAACAAAAATCCCTGTCACTTCGGGGGCCCTCTTTTAGTGCACCTAAAACATAGGAGCGAGATGGTTAGACGCTGTTATGGGATCCTAAACCTTTTGGATTGTGTTTCATCAATCAAATGGATATGTGTATGTGTGTGTGAATGTATGTGTGTGGATGTACGTGATGTTTGTGCATGTGTTTATGTGTGTGTGTTTGCGTTTATGAGCGACTATATTTCGAAAGAATTATCGTTTAAAAGAAATTGGTAATAGTGAATAATCATGACATATGTTGACACATTTTGTTGTATAAATTAGAACTAGAACTTGAATGCAAACAGCAACCTTTTGCGAGATGAAATTTTGCCGAAATAAATTACAATGAGGAAAAAAAGCTGTAAAATGCTTTTTAAGGTCACTATTACTAGAAGCATGGAAAACATGGGCAATAAAGCAGAATCAGGTTTCGGATGAAAATGTTTGAAAGACAAAATCTCGTGGGTTGGAGTCAGGCTGGGAAAAAACAACAACCCCCCCCCCCCCCCCCCCCCCCCCCCCCCCTTCCCAAAAAAAAAAAGTCGTTCAGAAATCGGATGAAATTATTTTGAAAAAGTAGGCCGCAGTGAAGACATGTTAACCGTGTTGTGAAGAAAAGATGCAATGTCAGCCCACGTGTTCAGATGACCTCGTTTCGACGTCCACATCCACAGTTCGTATGTCTATCTGCTATAGGTTAGTTGCTTATCCTTTACAGGACGTTGCAGAGCCAACCCCAACAGCCCCTGGTTGTTGTGTGATTTTTCTAGGCAAATTTACGTCCAGTAATTTGCCATTGCTTCCTGGATGGTCGGCTTTCTTGATACCACTGTCGAAACCAACGCAAGGCGCATGGCCCGCAGCTGGGATCGAACCCGGCATCTCGGCATTACGAAGCGTTCGCATCTACTTAGTCACAGAGCCGACCTATCTGCTATACTAAAACAAAAGTCCACAACTCAGGTGTCTACCCGCTATACTGGCGCTAACATCCACAGCACGGTTGTTGATCTGCTACACCCACGCTAACATCCACAGCACGGTTGTTGATCTACTATACCCACGCTAACATCCACAGCACGGTTGTTTATCTGCTATACCCACGCTAACATCCACAGCACGGTTGTTTATCTGCTACACCCACGCTAACATCCACAGCACGGTTGTTTATCTGCTATACCCACGCTAACATCCACAGCACGGTTGTTTATCTGCTACACCCACGCTAACATCCACAGCACGGTTGTTGATCTACTATACCCACGCTAACATCCACAGCACGGTTGTTGATCTGCCATACCCACGCTAACATCCACAGCACGGTTGTTTATCTGCTATACCCACGCTAACATACACAGCACGGTTGTTGATCTACTATACCCACTCTAACATCCACAGCACGGTTGTTGATCTACTACACCCACGCTAACATCCACAGCACGGTTGTTGATCTGCTACACCCACGCTAACATCCACAGCACGGTTGTTGATCTGCTACACCCACGCTAACATCCACAGCACGGTTGTTGATCTGCTACACCCACGCTAACATCCACAGCACGGTTGTTGATCTGCTACACCCACGCTAACATCCACAGCACCGTTGTTGATCTGCTACACCCACGCTAACATCCACAGCACGGTTGTTGATCTACTATACCCACGCTAACATCCACAGCACGGTTGTTTATCTACTATACCCACGCTAACATCCACAGCACGGTTGTTGATCTACTATACCCACGCTAACATCCACAGCACCGTTGTTGATCTGCCATACCCACGCTAACATCCACAGCACCGTTGTTTATCTGCTACACCCACGCTAACATCCACAGCACCGTTGTTTATCTGCTACACCCACGCTAACATCCACAGCACGGTTGTTTATCTGCCATATCCACGCTAACATCCACAGCACGGTTGTTTATCTGCCATATCCACGCTAACATCCACAGCACGGTTGTTTATCTGCCATATCCACGCTAACATCCACAGCACGGTTGTTTATCTGCTATACCCACGCTAACATCCGCAACTCAGGTATCTGTCTGATATAATAATAATAATAGTAATAACACGAACGACTTATTATACTGTACTGTCATATTTTACCCTTTCCGTTGCAAAACGGGCTCAAATTATCCAGAAAACCAGTGAACACAAACTGCCCAAACCCTAAATACACTAACCTGATAACTGTCAACAGTGTTCTCACATTCCCTGATGAAATTACGACTTGCTTCAGTCAGCTCCTCAATTTCCTTATTAACGATTTCAAATTTCTGGGCAGCCCGCAGCCCTAGACTCTTCTCGTCGGTGAATTTAGAGGCCCTCGATTTTCTGTGAAATGCGGAAGCCTCAGCTTTTCCTTTGCCGCCCATTTGCAACGATAGCCTCTGTTGAGGGTCACGCGATCCTTCAATTCGACTGAGACAGTTCTGGAACATCTGGACCTCTGTAGACAGTGTTTGGCACGACTTTCTGGGAGGACATGTTGAAAATACAGGAGATCAGCAGGTGGACTTGGGGGAAGACGTGGTCGCGCAGTGGCTGGGCGCTTGCTTGTCCGCTCTGATGTTCGCATCCGCACAGGAGGGATTTGGGAACATGACACTGGCTTTTTTGACGACATCGCCTTAGATGGTTACGAAGAACTGGCATGGGAAACAAGTACGCCGCCACAGAGAAAACACTAGGGCGCCATACAATTTTGTTTAATTGCACAACATTAATAATAACGACATTTATTGTTATTATTAATATTATTATTATTATTCTGTAGTTGAAACGGCTTTAATTTTATGAGGCCCCTTGCCTTGAACAATTATAGGGCTAGAGGTGCAGGGGTGGGGTGGAAAGGCTTCAAGGAGCTTAATCTTTGTTTTACTGTGCAATAATAATAATAACTTGTGTATACTGAAATAAAAATCAAGATATAAGAATTGAAGTACTTTCAACAGCTGACATGAAGACTAGATATAAACAGAGTGCACACATCCAGCGGAAAAGAAAGTGATAGGTTTTGATCAGATGCAAAACAGACACGAAACATGTTGCGGGATTAGTCAGAAGCACCTGTGCCTGGAGGTTCCGGCCTCTCAACCCCCCCCCCCCCCACATACACAGGCAGGTTAGTTAACTCGCTAAGCACCCCCTTTCCTTCCCCCGCCTCTTTCCCCCAATTAAAAATGGTTCGAGGTTTGAACAATGGGTCAACATCATGGCACACGGGTAGTAACCCATAAGTGTGCCGTTCTTCTTCTAACTCAAGTCTGAGTCCGAAAAAGCTCAGCACACTGCTCAGGTTTTGTAGCACCGGTGAGGATACTGAAATACTTTGGGTAGATTTTTAACTCCAAATTTTGCCTGGGCAGCACCGGTATGCTACTCTTTTCGATTTCCAACTACCAAGCAGTTAAACAGGCTAAAACCGTACGTCAAAAAAATATTAGGAGATTACCAAGCGAGTTTCTGATAGAACAGATCAACAATAGATCAGAAATTCATGTTACGGCAAATGACAGAGCAAAATTGGGAATAAAGAAAAGATGGACATAATGTTTTGGTGGATTTTAAAAAAGGCGTATGATGGTGTGCATGGTAGAAACAGTTTATAGAATGCTGTAAAGGACTTTGGAATAATTTAAAAAAAAGTTAATTAGATTGATCAACCTATGAAAGGAAGAGACTCGTAATATAGTAATATATAAAGTCAGAAAGTCAGACCCGTTTCAAATAACATCTGGTTTAAATCAAGGTGATGCTCTGTCCCCATTTCTTTGCAACCTGGCACTGGAGACAAATAATCAGGACATTGAAACAAGAGTGTACTATAGCAGAAAATACAAGAATACTTGCATATGCTGATGACATGAATATCGTTGGAGAAAATGAACTAGGGAATGATAAAACAATGACTGTCTTAAAAGAATAAGCTAAAAAAAAATGGGACTAGTTATCAATCAGGATAAGATAGAATACACGATAATCAATAGACAGGGAAAGAATAAAAACTCCGGCAACATACGATAAAAATCAAACGAACGGAAACATGTAAGTACTTGGGTGCAAACTTCAACTCCCCCAACATGATGAGAGAAGAAATACAATCTAGAATACAATCTGGAAATAAGGTATACTATCCCCTTCAACATCTGCTAAAGTCAAAGTGTCTGTCTCGCAACACCAAGATCAAAATATATAAAACGTTGATTAGACCAGTTGTTTTCAATGGCTTTGAAACTTGGAGCACAACTAAAAGATATGAAGCCTTATTACAGGTTTTCGAAAACAGAGCCTTATGACGAATCTTTTTACCCATCAAAAATGCAAACAGTGATGAATGGAGAGTGAGAAGCAACAACAAAATTCATTATCAGTTTAAATCACCATTGATCACTTGCATCATGAGAGCTAATAGACTGAAATAGTTGGGGCATATTTAAAGAATGTCAGATGACATAGAAGTAAAACTGTATACACCAAGAAGATGAATGGTCGTAGAACACGAGGCAGACCAAGAAGATGATGGAAAGATAATATCCAGACAGACCTGCAAACACTTGGTGTCACCATCTGGAAAGAGAGGGCCAACTAAAGAGATGAATGGAGGCGGGTGAT